GCCTCTAATCAATGAGCTATGCAGTTGTCTCAGTCCTGTTAATTAACTCTAAGCCGTGACATAGGGCTTCTTATGTGGCCTTGACAATGCACACCAAAAGCATTAACAGGGACACCATCCATGCGCAACATGGCACTGTCAATACTCTGATATTTTGCAGCTGTTGATGGAATCAGCCTCTCTGAGAGCTACCACAGAGTTCGGGAAGCCTTACTACCAGCCGGCCTCAGAACCATTAAACTGAGTTTTAGAGCTGTACCCTCATATGGAGATAGCAGGAAGAGGTGCATAGCCATTATCAAGGAGGCATAAGCAAAATTCTATGAGTAGAGTCAAGGAGATCCAGCATTCATCATCCTAGGCAAGAAACAATGTAACACAGGTTACATCTACGCCAGCCTAATAGATGAAGAAGGGGTTCGAGGCTGTTTAGCAGAATTTTTCTGCTTACCCCTAAAGTCTTTGCCTAGGAGGCCTTCTACAAGACAGTAGCTGTATGCAGTTAACATCTGCCCAAGATGAGTATTTTTATCGAGACACCATCTCTAGTCTTTACTCAACCAAGAGCCCCAAGGCAGGGGATGTTTAGCTGGATGCAGTTAACATCTGCCCAAGATGAGTGTTTTTATCGAGACATTATCTCTAGCCTTTACTCAACCAAGAGCCCCAAGGCAGGGGAATTTTTAGTCGGAGTTTATTTCTCCTAGCCTTTGCATAAGAAGAGCGCACTCTGCAAGGCAGCAGGGCTTGTGGCAGGTGGTACTGGGTTACGTGATACTAGTAACAAGATTGATCTCGATTATCCTGACCTGACCTGGAGTAGTTAAAAGGAGTTACTTCCCGCAACAGTACTTTGAGAAAAACAGGCATGACATTTTGGAAGTGCATTAGGAAAAACACTGCATCTAACAAAATACAGGAATCTAAGGTGAGTGTACGTTTTGTAGTTGGAGTAAGTAGTTAGTTACTGAGCTCACGCTGCATTAGAGTATAAACAGAACACAAACAAACATAAATCAACTTACGGATGAGCGAACACCGCGCCAGAGGTTCAGACAGAACACAAACATACATAAAAAAACATAAAAAACATAAAAAACATAAACATAAACATAAAGTAACTTACGGGTGAGCGAACACCGCGCCAGAGGTTCAGACAGAACACAGACATACATAAAGAACATAAAGTAACTTACGGGTGAGCGACACCGCGCCAGAGGTTCAGACAGAACACAAACATACATATAATGTAGGTTACAGGTGAGCTAATACAGTAACTAAGGCACTTCCAACTATATAGGAAAAAAAAAAAAAAAAAAAAATTACTATAGGCATGACTGATATAAGATAGTACTGATGACAGGAAGAACACTCCTTTCAGCCTTTGCTTAGATGGAAAATCCTGCAAGGCAGCAGAACATTGAACAGGAAATAAATCCGAAGTTACTTTATACGTATATTAATGAGAAAAAGTCGGTAAAAAACCAAATTGCATCGATCAAGAACAGTGACGGAAAAAATGTCACTGATCAAATGGCTATTGCTGAAGAATTTAATAAATATTTATATTCTGTATATAGAAGATAAAGATGTAATTAAAAATATTGAAAACTGTCAGCTAAACACGATATTAGAAGCTGTTGAAATAAAACAAAATGATATAGAAAAAAGATTAATGGCTCTTGATATATAATAATCAATTTGAGTTGATTTAATACATCCTTTTGTTCTAAAACAATGCAGTACATCTATTTCATATCCTTTTTATTTAATATTTAAAAAATCTACAGAAGATGGTACTGTACCAGATATTTAGAAGATGGCTAATATAACGCCTATATTGAAATAAGGGAGTAAGTTGAAACCAAAAAATTACAGACCAGTATCTCTGACGTCAATACCATGCAAAATATTAGAAAGAATAATTGCTGATAACATCATCAAGCATTTAATAACAAACAAGCTAATAGCAAAGGAACAGCATGGCTTTCTAAAAGGTAAGAGTTACACAATGAATTTACTAGAATTTCTTGATACCTTAACAAGCGCATTATTATACGGTATTCCAATTGACGTTTTGTATACCGACTTTCGAAAAGCATTCGACAGAGTATCACACATAAAATTATGTGCTAAGGTTTATGCGTCCAGTATTGTTGATATGCCTCTTAAATGGATTAAATCATTCTTATCAAATAGGAAACAACGAGTAGTGATGGGAAAATGCAAGGCAAACTGGGTTGATGTGTTAAGTGGAGCACCATAGTGTTCTGTACTTGGCTCACTTCTTTTCTTGATATTCATAAACGATTTACCAAGCAGACTTCTTAATAAATGTTGTTTGTATGCCGATGACAATAAAATAATCGCTCCTATTTATAACGAGGCTGATTCAAAATCATTTCAAAATGACAAAAAAACTTGAAGATTGGTCTGTTGAATGAACACTGGGTTTGAATTTTGAGAAATGTAAAATAGTGCACTTTGGTGCAAGTAATAAAAGATATTTTTATTTCATGAAAAATGATGGTGAACTAAAAGTAATTGAAAAATCTACTCTTGAAAAAGATTTAGGTATTTATATATCTAAGGATTTGAAATGGGAAAAAAAAGTAAGGAATGCTGCCAGTAAAGCAAACAATATGCTTGCAATATTAAATAGCACTTTTAGATATAAAGATAAATACCTCATGAAAATGCTTTATTGCATCTATGCTAGAACTCATTTAGAGTTTGCAATTCAAGCTTGGAATCCCTATTATAAAAAAGATATCAAAGAACTTTAAAAAGTTCGAAGAAGAGCAACTAAATTGATACCAGAGTTAAGACATCTGAGATATAATCAAAGACTAAAAATATTAGATTTAACAACTTTAGAAGTTCGAAGACTAAGAGGTGACCTTATACAACAATATAAATTATATAAAGGTTTTGAATCTATTGATAAAAAGAAAGTCCAGATACAAATGCATTCAATCAATACGCCAGGTCCAGCATCCAATATTAGAGGTTACAATCATTGTAACCTCTTTGGTTATCATTGAGGCTGATAGAATATTAGAGATTACAAACATCGTGTTAAATCAGAGTTTGTTAAAAATTGTTTACGTAGACAACACTTCTTTACAAACAGGGTTGTCTTTGGATGGAATAATTTACTGGAATCGGTAGTGAAGTCTACATCAGTCAAAGAGTTTAAATCCAGACTTAAGCTGATTGACTTGCAGATAATACTGAACAAGAAAAACAGGTTGCAGTTAAATTTTTAGACAACTATTGTGTTGGCTGTCGTAGATTTTGCCTAGCGCTCTATCTCAACAGCATTTGAATTATTACTATCCATAGCAATATAATAGTTTGTAGAACCTTTAGACAAAATAACAATACTAAAAAACCTTTTTTTCTGGAGATATGATCCCACAAAAAACAGAAAAAATTTATAGTGTTGAATTTGTGACGGTTTTTGATGAACAATAGACTAAAATATAAGCATAATATGAAACTTGTAATAAATTTTTTGTAATCTCTACCTTCGGTTTACTTTGGGTAAGCCATACAAAAAGTACCACAAAACCCGAAATAATAAACAATTTGATCTAAAAACTTGGTAATGTTTGTGAAACTTGTTTACAACATACCGACAAAATTTTATTAAAATCGGAGATGGTTGATGGAGAAAAGTTGATGGACAATATTTACACTTAACAATATTTTTGTCTTTTGTTGAATTTAAATCATGTTTCCAAATTTCAGACATCTTTTTTTTTGAAGGTTCCACCCTTCACTTTCCGTTTTTTATTTTGAAATATTACTAAAAATATATGTAAAACAAAATTTGATAAACAAAAGTTATATATATATATATATATATATATATATATATATATATATATATATATATATATATATATATATATATATATATATATATATATATATATATATATATATATATATATATATATATATATATATATATATATATATATATATATATACTTGTTTGTTATTGTATCTGGTTGAGATACAAATCCTCTTGTTTATTTAGGGAAGGTGGTCATAATAAATAAGGTCAAGTAAGAATTTTTTGAAAATATGAATCCGTAAAATGTGAAATGTGAGGATCCCGGATATTGTTCTTTGAAAAGGAGCTCTTATTTTTATGTTATTCCCGGTCAATTTCTGCTTACGCCTATTTCAATCTGCCAGTCAGAAGATGGCTTGAAAGCTGTAGCCGTTTCAGACGTTTTATTGCCTCCAATATTCAGAGCACCATTCCTCGATCATTAAAATCACTCAAACTTCCTCTGTACGGTCTGTTTTTTCCCTCCGTGCAATCAAATTTATCTTAGAGATTCTGTAAGCATTGCAACTTGTACCTCACCTACCAAATCGTGTATAAAAAGAATGTCAGCATTACTTTTTCCAATTTTATTAACCATATGGCTACTACCCTTTTGCGAGTTAGACCTGTTGGCATTACCGCTAAGTGCAAAAAAGAGCTAATGGCCGTAATTGCGGTAGAAGAGAACGCGAAAACACAGAAAATGTAATTCATGTGAAAATTTTTAATAAAAATGCTTAAATTAAGAAAGAATTTTGTTTTAGGAAAATAAAGAAAGTAGGGGGAAGGGGATTCCAATTTTATGGCATCCTTTTCAAGGGGGGTATAAGGAAAAAAGACAACCAGTGACAAAGGAGGAGGGGGAGGGGTCAAAAATTGTCTAAAAAATGATGACATCCTGAAATGGACACAAATGGAACTATTTGATATAAGTTTAAGCATATATTTTTTGGAGTTTGCTCCGTCGTTTTTTGCTTTCGATTAACTTCCAACTTTATTAGTAGTTACTTTTTTTGTTGAGAGTGAGTTTTTTAAAAAACAAAAAATAAAAAAATTAATTGACTGTACGAATGATGAACAACGATATATATTTTAATATATATCATTCATATATATTCACGATGAAAGTTCTTCTTCAATTTATGTCGTTTTCCTACTTAACGGAAGCACAGCTGTTTAATAATATGGCTAGTTCGCTTTGCTCACGTTGTTCGAGTGTGGTTAAAAATGTTTTTGGTTCGAATGGTTTTGGTATTAAAAAAATTATTATCAAAACTAGATTTTATAGCACTGATTTTGATGTTACTCGTGATGTTTTTAAATCAACAGCACCAGATCATAGAGGAGAAAAGAGCACTCTTTTTGAAAGGGAAGATGTTCAAGACATTTTAAAAAGGTTAACTGGTTTTGATCTCAATATTATATTCAAACCTCAAAAAAACACTCTTGAGCTTCCAAAGTATAAAGTTATGACAGAAAAAGAGATTAAAATGGTACGTTTTTTAAATAAACTTAAAATACTAAACATCATTGGAAAGAACTTTAGTAATTTTAAAGATAAAAAATTATCGAAATTAAAATCTAGAAAAAAAATTTCTTATATTTTCTTACTTGTAATTAAGTTTGTAATTAGTGAAATTTTTTTTTTAGTATGTAAAGTTAAAACGTTATAAAACATCAAAAACAGCATTGTACTAACTAATTTTTCTTTTGTGTGATATTACCGTCTAATTTGTAGACCTTTGCTTTTTTTTTTTTATCTTAGTTATAACAATAATGCTTTTCTTTTATAAACAGCTTTTCAAATTTGAACATATTGCCATTAGTGTTATAGTGATATTATACAGTATTGAAACAAAGATTATAAGAAAAAAACTCTCTCTGTACTGCATATCTGTGTTTGAAAAGGAAAGAAATCTTTTTGTTTTTTACTGATTCAATTATAACTTTGTATTATAATTTGTACTATTTATGTTAGTACTTATAATACTAAAATTTTGCTTTACTAAAAACAAAACAATGATTGTATTACAAAATTACTTATATTTTAAAGTTGACAAGTTGTTGCCGTTTGTGTTGTTAATAATCTTTTTTGTAGTTATATAGTTATAAAATATAATTTATATTGGAGATAGATGTGTAGGTGATTACACCACAAAACTCATCAAAAAATGCTTCTATCATAAATATTTTGTATATCTTTATTAAAATGAGAAGTTATTTAAAAAATATATGAGTTTTACGATTATTTTATGCTTGCAAAATAAAACTTGATTTGGCTTATGGCTCCTAATATAGTCTAAAAATTAGATGGATAATTGCAGCACCAATTTTACTTCTTAAAAATTTTGTTTTCTAAAAATTTTTTATTTTTCTTAAATTTTCCTAAAAATGAGAAGTATAGTAGATATGATGGAAACTTTTTTTTAAATATTAATACAACTATTTCTTATAAATGGTTGTATTAATATTTAAACAAGAGTTTACATATTTTATACATATAAACATTTTTATAAAATTAAATTTGAAAACGTTTTTTATTTTTATTTTGTTAAAATTTTTGCTGAAAAGGTTTTGTTTAAATACTTTTAACTTCAATTAAATCATTTAAAAATTTTACTATTTCTTGATTTAATTTTGTTGGTGTTGTCGTTTTGCTAATATGAGACCTGGTTTCCCAAAGTGACCCAGTTTTCATAATATATAAAAAAATAAGAAATGAAAATGGCAAAAATATGAAAATAAACATATATGTTTTTTTGATGCTAAATTCAATAAATGTACTTAAAATGCTGAAATATAAAAGGAACATGCTTAAAAGTTAATAAAACAACTAGTTTCTATAGACCAACTTTGGAGCCCAATATCTCAAAACACCCCTGTCAAATTTTTTTTTTTGCTGTTAATATTTTCAGCTGCTTACTAAGCACAACTATTTTCAGCTGCTTACTAAGCACAAACTATCTAACTGGAAAAACAACTGAAACATATGGAACTTTAACTTCAAAGATGTATCACTTTTTTAAGAAATTCCCCAAAAATATTAGTAAATAAAATAAAAATAAGTTAATCATAATTTAAAAAGTTACTTAAATATACAAGATTTTTGAAGGTATCGAAGATTTATGTTATTTTGACTGTTTAATAGTTCACAATATTGTTCCTATTTTACTTGTACTTCTTCTATTTCAGCATTTTCAAACACACAGTTTCTACCAGAACTAAAGCAAGCTTGTGGAACAGATAGTTTTTACAATATGTTGGTGTTGGGAATAAAACAGTTGTCATCTCTTTCAGGCCAGTTTGATTGATGGACCTTTTGGGTGAAGAAACTTAACTTTAGCATCAACTTCTTCTAGGTTGGTTTCAGTTACAATGCTGATCCACCACTTATCATCATAGACTACAGCTATATAACCTCCTAAAGTGGCAGTATCAAGTTGAAATATATCTTGTTTCCTTTTAGGATTGTGGATTATTGTATAATTAGTGTCCATACTACACCATCTCCAAGATGTATTAATTGATGAAAGCTACAAATACTAGATAGAGTTGTTACACCAGTGTACCTTTCTTTTCGCTCTTCACGTTGCAATTATAAGTCCAATTTTTCATTTAATATTATGTAAATGAAGTTAACAACCTTGATTTTCTCAATACAAAATTTATACATAGCTTCTGATGTGAGAATTTGGTTTCTGTATGGTTGTTTTAAACTTTCTTGCGCTGTTAACCTTTTTACAGTACTGCCGATTCCATCGCATGGTGACTTTCCGTGGGGCGTGGCAAAAAAGTTCCATATAACTTTAAGGGCAAATTCACTCTCTAGTTGGCATAGATTGTAAAAGCTTTTACAATTGTTCGGTGCAACCATCAGTGAATAGATGTAATTTGGGCAGATTATAAAATTTTGTTTTTAATATTAGTATGATTAGTTGAAATATTTTGTGCACATAAGTTACATCATGTGTAATGTTGTCTGATATAAAAATGTAAGAAATATGTTTCAGTACACCTTTATTATCTTTACAGCATATCTATTTACAATGGATGTAAAGAACATTGTTGGGTGTCCCAATAATAGCTTTTTATTTCATCTTGGACAACAAAAGTATAATTTTCAGCAAAGTTGCCAATAATGATAATTTTTGATTGATCCATATTTTGTTTTAGTTGGTTAAGGTACTGTGATTGAGTGTGAGCAATAAAAAAATGAGCTTGTAGATTTTTAAAGCAAGATACTGATAATTCAATAAACATTGGAACATCTGCTGTTAAACTCAATAGTGTTGCATGATCAGTAGTTTGCTATTGCTCTCAAAATATTTGGTGAGGGGTTCTTTACCAGGACAATTATAACACTGCAAGCAAACATTCTGTTTTCTACTGAGTAAACAGTTTTCGAAAGTAAATCTTTACTTTAGTTCAATAGTTAAGGCATCTACTAGCAATATGGCATTTTAGTGATAAGAACAAACACAAACAGAATGTGTACCACTGGCAAAATGCACCACTTTGGTCTAAGTGAAGAAAATTTTGAGTAACTTATTTGTATTTCTGGATTGTTTTCTTTGTATAATACATAAAGTTCCTTTAAATTACACAAAAGTAGTTTTTTTTTTTGTTTATGGACGTTCTTTTGAATGCTAACATAATCTTATTTTCCAGGCATAGTTCTACATAAATCACTTGAGCCATAAAACAATTTAACAGAATCTTCTATTTCTTTGTGTAAGACTTTACCTTTATACAGCGGAGAGAAAGCTTGCAATCCTTTTTAATTAAAAAAATTTGTCTATCATCTTTGCTTGGTATTCTATAACTGCAAAGTTATTTTGTACTTCTAATATCGACCAACTTGGGGGTGCCAGTGTTAAAAATTGAACAATAGTCCTTTTGTCAGAATATAGAAATTTTTCTTTTATCAAGCTCATAATTTCGTTAAAGTTTTCAGCCTTCTTTTTCATGTTATTTGTTTCATAACACAGTTTTGAGGGAACATTAACTTGACATTAACTTGTCAGTTTTTCTAGTAACGTTACTTACCATTTCGTTGATGCGCGCAACTTTTTGCTTTCCTTCTGAGAGTACATGTTTCGATGACTTTGAATGAGATTTTAGAGGAGATATATTAAATTTTTCGAGTTCTTCATTGATCTCCTGTCTTTTTGATTTAAATGATGATATTAAAAAATCCTTGTTCACCCTTTGCTTCTCTTTATGATCTTCTTTTCTGGCAATCTTTTGCTTACAAGGTTTGCAAAGTTTCTTCCCTGGAGCAATATTCAAACTACTTCTCATCATGACTTGTGACTCAATTATCATAACTACTCTAAGATTTTCTAAAAGTAATTGATTTGCATAAAGCCTATCAAATCTTTATAATTATTTAAAACATTGTTTATGTTTTGGAAAATACAAATTAAAAAAGTTTATATAATACCTTTTTAATTTGTATTTAAGTTCTACATCTACTTATTTGTGATTTTCTTTGTATGTTTATTGAATGAATCACAACATGCTTTCTGCCATATAGTATACATTTTCAAATATTTTACAATATGTCTTTCACATAATATTGTTAAGTTAGATAGCTCAATGTTACAGCATAATGATATAATTATTTTTTCTTCATTGCTTAAAGTTTCAATAACATCTTGTTGGCCTTTGCATGCATCTGATGTCATTAAGCCAATAGAACACATCTTATAATAAATTACTTAGTATGAATGTATTTCCTAAAAAAAAGGAGAATTCTTCTTTCCTACTTAATTTTGAGTTAAAAAAAAAAATTAATATAGAAATAATTCAAACCTTTTACAGAACCCTTCTGTTGTATAATTTTTTTACGCTGATAGATGTTGTTAATTTTCTTTATATATATATATATATATATATATATATATATATATATATATATATATATATATATATATATATATATATATATATATATATATATATATATATATATATGTATATATATATATATATATATATATATATATATATATATATATATATATCAAATTATTAAACTTTAAATAAAATTTTACCAATAAATGTTGTTCTATAACTGAACTTTTTATAAACTAGTTTTTTATAAACTTTTACAAACTATAGTTGTCAAAATTTTAAAAATAAATGCACTTCAATATCGCACCTAGTCAGATTTAAAAAACAAAACAGGATGTTTTTTTCAGTTGTTAAAATCAACTAAGTTATCATAATTAAGAAATGCTTAAATATAACAAAATTGTTTTGTTTTTTTCTTCTAAGGAGTCTATGAACTAAATTTAATGTTTTACAGAATTCTATTTACAAGTTTAAAATAACTTATTGAAAATTTGATATATCTTTGATACTAAAGTTCCATACGTTTCAGTTGTTTTTCCAGTTAGATATTTTGTGCCTAGTAAGATTATAAGCAGCTGAAAATATTACCAGCAAAAAAAAAAATTTGACAGGGGTGTTTTGAGATATTGGGTTCCAAAGTTGGTCTATAGAAACTAGTTGTTTTATTAACTTTTAAGCATGTTGCTTTTATATTTCAGCATTTTAAGTACATTTATTGAATTTAGCATCAAAAAAACATATATGTTTATTTTCATATTTTTGCCATTTTTATTTCTTATTTTTTTAAGAAAAATGTTTTTTTTTTTAAATGTCATGAAAACTAGGTCATTTTGGAAACCAGGTCAATATTAAAATTGCAGTATCTTTTCAACCGCTCAACATTTTCAGCTGAAATTTTATGCGTTAACTTTTCTTTTTAAGATGCAACAGCCAAAGAGTTTTTAAAAAATTTTGAGGAACCGTGGTTCAAAGTTTCCTAAATTTTGGGTGATTTGATGCGAAATTATCCTTTTGCAAATATTGCTGTATACTTAATGAGAGTCTAGTTACAAAATTTTTTTTATTTTGTCATTTTTTATTATCAGTGTTAAATATTTGAATGCAAAAAAGCAAAGTTTATAGAAATAGTAATTGATAGTGTATAATAGTAGAATTTAGAACAGTAATAATTATTGTTGATAATAGTAATAATATTATTATTAATAGCAAGAATATTATCATTATCATATATAAAATTAGTTATTAATATAGTTACTTTTTTAATATAGTTAATATAGTTAGTTTTTAATATTGACAATTGCAATTTAATATTGAAAGCTAAAAGTGTAAATAAAAACTTAATTTTAGGAAGAAGAAAAAGCTATAGCAGAAGGAAAAAAACGTTTAAAAATGCCTAATGTTATGAGTAAAAGAAAACCTATAAAAACTCAACTCAGTATTAATTCTGAACTAATTGATATGGATGAAAATGGCGCAAATTATTTGTTTACTGATATCAGTCCTTCCAAAGACAGAAATGTATATACTTAGTGTGAGCTTTTAATTAATACTCTCTTTTACGGTATGATGATAATGTAATTATGATGAAGATGACAGGGATAATGATGAGGTACTGATGATGATGATGATGATGATGATGATGATGATGATGATGATGATGATGATGATGATGATGATGATGATGATGATGATGATGATGATGATAATGATGATGATGATGATGATGATGATGATGATGATGATGATGATGATGATGATGATGATGATGATGATGATGATGATGATGATGATGATGATGATGATGATGAGAATAAAAATAATCAGCACATAGATTTATTATTTTTGTTTAATTTGCTTAGAATCGTGGAGTTCTTGTACGTGAAAATGACACTGGTATTTTGCGAGAAGGAAGCTGGGATGAGCGTGATAGAATGGAGTTTATGTACTGGCCTCAAGAAGGTCAACATCATGAAATGTTTCCCATGTTACAAGATGAACATTTACCAGTAAGTAAATCTAACAAAAGTTATCATTATGGTTTCAAATTATGATTTGATAGGTATTTTGAGCAAAGCATGCTTTTAAAAATGTTTCAACTAAAAACATATTTTTTAAAATTGATATTTTTACTGTTTATTTTTAAAAATATTTTTATATAGTTTTATTTTTTTAAAAGTTGATAGTTTCACTAAGCAACTTTGCAACTTCTCATTAGCCTGTAATAAATTAAATCATATTATGAAAAATTTAATTCATTAACACAGCTTTACAACAAAAATAATATTATAGTTTCATATTTAATATGTTTTATATTTAGGCTATATGAAATTTTGTTTATTACCAACTTAAGTAGAAATTTTTAAAGCAAAGGCTTTGACTATTAAGTAAGAAACAAAAAATATTGTGCAGTTAAAAAAAAATTTATTTACCAAAGTTCTAAATTTAGTTTTTATTTGTAGGGGTTGTTGCTATTTTTTAAAAAATTATTAATCATATTAATATTAGGTTCATATTTATAGATATGTGAAAAATAAATTAGGCTTTGCAAGTCTTTCCAGGAAACGCTGCTATTTAAATTTATTTTGTTTTCTATTTTGTTAGTTTTGCTTCCTTTTTTTTTGTTTCAAAAAAAAAGCAAAACTGCACACTTGCTTTGTATTTCCTATCAATTATAAAGTATATGTTCAACATATTTTATACATTATTTATCCCAAACTATTTGTTGATGTATATGTTGTATAAACCCCCACAGCTTCCTATTTCAGTTTGACATCATCAATGTGTGATTAATGCTACTTTTATTAACATATACATTGATATATTTATGAGCAATTCCACGAAAAACCTAGCATAATTTAAATAAGTTCATCCTTGATTAAATCTAATTACGCAATTGTAATTTTAATTATTTATTAAATTATTGTGCTTATAATGCACTTTATATGCTTATAATGCACTTAATATAACTTTAAAAACTGTTTATTTTAATGTTTATATTAATATTTTAGTCATCTAATGGATTATATAATATATATTATGAAAATAAATCTCTATATAAGAGTAAAATATTTAGAATTAGTTTTTTTCAAGAAATCAAAAAAATGTTAAATCAATCTAAAATTACTAGGTACTTTTTAGTGTAATTTTTTTTTTATTTATTATTAGTTAATTTTTAGTTCAAATTAAAATATAGTTAAATTTGAAATAAATATCTGTTGCTAGTCAATTTAATGCAATTGAACAAAATTTGAAGAACGCAATTGAACATAGTTTGAAGAAGTACTTGCAAAGTTTGGGGAAAATGTAATAAAACTAAATGAAAAAGCTGGAGCGTGCAATTGTGGGTTTTAGTATATTGAATTAGAAGTTGGTAAAGATAACAATGTTCAAGATGATTAAAATATACTTTTGTTACACTGTAGAAAATATGAACCAATATGACGTGAAGGAGCACAAAACAATCCTAAATCTTGTCTATCTATTGTAGAGAAAGCAACTTTTTTGCTTATTTTTTATATAAGTGTAAAGAACAAGAAGTGTCAAGACAGTAAGTTTATATCTTATCAAAACCACCAAATCTGAAGAAGATGAAACTGATGAGAGATTCCACTCATCTGCTCAATCTATTACAGGGGCTATTCTAGGAAAATGTTGTGTGATAGTACCCTTTTGCCACACTTTTGCCTCCTTCCCAAAGAATTAAAAGTAGTAAGGGAGTAAAAAAACGCAGGAATTTGTGTGCAAAAATTAAAAACTTTTTGAAAAAATAATAATTTGTTTATTTTTTTCTTTTTCTTAGCTTTAAAATTATATTTAATTGTGTATGAAGGAAGATATATTTTAAAGGTTATTTGTGTTTAAAAAGTTTGAAGTTAGAATAGAAAAAATCTTAGTTCAATTTCTAATAAAATGTCAATGTTCAACCTTGTTCTTTAGAACTTAAAACTTAGGAATACACGCAGAAAATTAGGAAAAATGACTTTACAGTAGTTTATAAGATCTTTTATTAAAGATCAACTGAAAGATCATATGTGGTATGCATCTTTAAAACTATATATTTTTTAGCTAAAAACTTTTGTTTCATTTGGTGTTATACTTTTTACATGCATTATTTATCAATACTAGCAAAAAGCGACCCCTAATACGAGTTATGGTCGGTCTGTTACTTAATTTATTGAGGGTATTAGCAAGCTGTTTTCCACAATTTAATTTAAAGTTGCAAAACCTTAACTTATACCCTTTTAGAAAAATGCCTTTAAATTGAAAGTACTAATTCATCAATAAAATTAACATTAAAAGTATAAAATAAAATAATTTACTAGTTAATATCTAACATTATTTGAATAGTTTACAACTAACTTACGTCATATCAGTTTGAGACAGAGCCATTTATCTCGACATTCAACAAAATAAGTTTTTAGTTACTGACACAAAATAATAACACTTCATCATGCTTTAAATTGACGAAAATATCAACTAACTTCTTGTAATATCTTTTATAATAATATTATGAAATTTAATTAATTATTAAAACTAATATGAAGTTAACTTATGTTATACAGGAGTTATTAATTCTTCTTTTTTTAAGAAAATTTTTAAAAACATTAAATGCACACAACTAAATAAATTTATTAAAAATAACTAAGTTTATTTTAAATAACTAAGCAATTAATGACAAATATGTTTTATATAAAAAAAAATTTAATTTACAATCAAACATGTTTATAACAAATAAAAAAATATGTAAACTTTGATCTTTTATATTGCATTAATGCGTCATGACCTAAAATAAAAGTTGTAACAAATAAGTAGATATAAAAGGAAAGAAAAAAAATAACTACTGGAAAACAATTTACCTGCTTTTGATAACATGTTGTGATACTGCAGTTGCTGTTGTGATGCAGCAGTTCTTGTTGGTGTTGTTTAATGACGTTATTTCATGTGGCTTTTAGTAAATATTGTTAACTTTAAAAAATTCAAAATGGATTTAAATATTATTAATTAATATAAACTATAAACATTAAAGATAAAAAATCAAGTTGAGATATAAATAAATTGTATTTATATAGCTAATTATTTTTTCTTGGCTTTTAGTAAATTTTAAAAGCAGTGAGTTCAATAAATGAAACTACTAATTAATTATTTTTAACAATAGAATACAGCATCATTATACTATGATAATTGGATAATTAAAACAAATCAAATATACAATATACTATATTAAAAAAAACATTACAAATTTTAAAAAAAAAGTGCTGTTTCAAGCTTATCATCATTTGAAAGAGAAGTAAAATATGAACATGTGGCAAACCATACTTTTAAAATTCAATAACCTAAACATGTGTTACAGCTAGTAAATTTACCGATATTTTAACAAACCGGTAATTCGGTAAAAAAAAAATTATTACCGGGTTACTGGTAATTTACCGGTTTTTTTTCTAAAGGCTTAAATAGTAATAATCTAAACACTGAAAATAACAAAAAGCATAACAAATGAATATATTAAAGTATAGTAAAACAGCATCAGTTTACAGGTCCATCCTAGTTAAAAATGAATAAATTAAACAATCAAAAAAAATTTTTTTATATAATAAAATATAATTAATTCATTCATTAACATTTTTGTACTTTAGTGTAAACATAAACAAACATAAACATAAAGAAAACTTCATTTTTAAAATAAAAATAATTAATATAATCTATTCTTTTCAAATTGTTTATTGAAGTAAGCTCTTAAAAAAACACATTACATTTAATGTTTTGTCGTTTAAACTTGTTCTGTACCTTGTGCCAATTAAACCTGCTGCAGAAAATGCTCTTTCCGACTCTACACTGGTTGGGCGAACTGCTGAAATATACTTTTGGAGTTTGTTTAAATATTTTCCTTTAATATTTTGTTCCTTGAAATACACCATTTATTTCCTGACTATATTTAAAAGACCGGATGTTGCCTTCGGATCACTTATCTCTTCGTGAGCAATAGTTATCATTTTTTTTAAAATTACTAAATCAAGTTTTTCCTTCATTGACATTGCTTAACTTGATGTCGCGACTGCTGATAAAACCGTAGATTCACTAGTTGATTCAGTTTCATACACTTGCACAACTTCAGCTTCAGTAGTTTCGGAATCGTTTTTTAAAAATTGTTGAATGATTTCTACAATATTTTTTTTCATAACCAATTTAGTTGTTGTATTAAACACGCCATAATTATTTTCATTATTTAAAGCTGTACATGGTTCATGAGGATATAAATATATATCAGAATATACGGTTCTTCTCTCGCTTATTCGAATTATTAAATCTTGTTTCAATTCATTACTTAAGAAATTTTTTTGGTTACTTAGTTCATCCAACATGAACCTAATTGTCAAATCTGCAACATTCGTGTCCCTTGAACAGAGAGCTTCCACAGCTACTTTAACAGGTTGCAAAGTCGTTATTATATTTGATACAACATTGAGATCGTTTTCTGATAAATCTATATCGGATTTGATATCGATTAGACTCTTATGAACACAATTTTTAATCTCATAAATTCTTTCCAACAAACTGCTCCACCGTGTTTTTGTGTCAAGGATTAGCGTAAGTTCTTTTTTAAATTTATCCTTAACATGTATTTGGAGGATGTCATTTTTTGTTGGTGATCTACAGAACATGACAACAATTTTTTGAATTTTAGTTATTATTGGACCTATACTTTCATGTTGAATTGATGAATCAGTAGTTGATGTATCCTCAATAACGTCAAAAACCCCAATATCTTCTATTACATCGTCCTCTTCATCTTCACCATGTTCAATTTCAGTAATAGCCACTTCTTGATTTTCTACGGAAATGTTATCCGAAACAGAAATTTTATACAGCACCTTAATTACTGTAATTATAAATAAACCACATAAACAAATCCTAATTGTATGTAAACATTTTTCTTTCTCTATTAAAAAACGAAAATTTAAGAAAAATCAATCAAGTAGGCTGTATTTTTTTTTAAGAAATGCATATT